ACAGTCAAATTCTACATATTTCTGCGCTGACTTTTATACACATTTATAATTATTATATACTCTTTAATCGTGAATGTTAACGTCCAGAAAAAAATCATTAACAAATATATGGAAACAATGCGAAACAAAAACGTAACACGACATCAATGATTAGTGATATCCTTAAATAGATTCGTTATTGTTCCTTGAGCGCTTTACAGCGCATTTCTTCTATGAGCAACTGTCCACGTCCATTTTTTTCAATAATTATATATTTGTAATATTAAAATACAGAATCCATCATCGTTTGAATAAAAACGTTTTAACAATTTCATTGGAAATATTGTTTTGAAAATTTTACTACGTATTTAAGTAATACTGCAAAAGTATAGATAAATTATGAAATGTTCTTTTATAAATATAAATTTTTTACATTTTAAAGACAAAACATGTTTCATAAATTTTTAAAGTTACATCAACTTTTTGTTTAAAACGATGACAGCGACTCTAAATAGCACTAAGGACATCAGTTGCACATAGAAGGTAGTCGTCGAATCCCTCCAACGAGGGCATAATAATATTATATGAAAAAAATTAAAAGAAAAATAATAATGCGGCGTCTCTATAAACTTTTTTTTGTCCTTTAAGTACAGTCCTTGCGCGCAATATATGGCACTGAGTATTCACGTAATTTTTTTTTCATTTCAAAACAAACAAGTAAAATCACAAAGCATCCAATTTCTTTAAAAATATATACTCTGATTTCATCGAACCCTTATTTTTGGCATTTTTTCAGTGTCAAAAAATTTCAGCAGCTATTGAAACCAGGCCGAATTGAGCCAATAGTATTTTATTTCAATACTCGCCTATAAACATATACTAATTCGTTTTGTACAATAAACAAATCAATTCAATTGGTCTGCATTTAAATTTTCTGACTGAAATAAGTAACACAAAATTGAACTGGAAAGCTTGCGTCTCACCCTTTTTGAAATTAAACCAATTAATCTTTCGACAAAAGAAAACTGACAATTATACGATGCATCTTCTTGCAACAACAAATAATGAAAAAAACGGGTTACAGTCTCAAACTTAACTATCAAAGTGTCGTAAATCAAGTCTCATAAAAAAACACGCACCGACAACATTTTAATATTAGACAACATAAGAAAAGATTCTGTCTTTCCCGTTTCCTGAAAACACTTATTTATGAATCTCCAACAGTGAAACAAACAATCTCGGCAATTGGTAAAGCCGAGAAGAAAATCTCGACCCTAGGTTCGGCACTCGTAACTAGGGTTCCGACCTACAGGGGCCAAAGTCCACCTTCTAACCTCCGTACTTAAAAGAACCTTTCTGATCGACAACAATCAAGGTCGTCCTTTAACAGTAAAAAATAAATAAAAAAAATTACCACGCCTTTATTGTCCGACCATGGTGCCTTCCGAATGCGCCCAACACCCCTTTTTGTCGTACTTGTTGCTGGTACTAGCACCTTTTTTGTCTGCCACCCTCTGTTCCTGTGTCTGTTCCTGTACTTGTATGCGTGATCAAGTTTTCGTGTCGCTGTCGCACAATCGTGTAAGAAAGTGTTCAAGTGTGTGCACACGAATTTAACGTGTATATATATATAAATATATATATATATATATATATATATATATAATACACTTCAGTAACACACACATGACCCAAGAAAGGTATGTGTGCGCCACTGATCAATAGGAGATGGCACATCTTTCAGGGGTGCAGGGTTTATTCAATGGGCACCGTAGTGACTTGATCGGTACAATATATAAATATATTTATTCCATTTGTTCGATCATTTTCTTATTTGATAAAGGGTTTTCAAGTACGGGGATTGGGGGTGGACTTCGCGCGCCCTGCCGGCCAGGACTTGTACCTCACACAACTCCCTAGTTACGAGTACCGAAACCTAGTCTAATCGCGGGGACGTCAACTCAATAATTTATCTCAAATAGCTAAGCATTCACATTTTGTTATGAGCAATTAGAATAAAATATCGAGTTAAAAGCGTGTACTTAGTGGAAGAAAACGGCAGACCACTCAAGTCCCTTTTGATGTTTTGATTATTAATATTATTATTATTATTATTATTTTTCAAGAGCAAAACAAAATCGCGTTAATTCTTCTCTCTTTTCTCAATCGTATTTACATATATAGTAGGAAGAAAAATTCATCAAATTGTTTATTTATTTATTTATTTCTTTAAGGCGATTTTGTTTTGCATATTCACTAACATTTCTCTCGTAGACTCTCGCTCATTCGCACTTAAAAATTTATTTCATTAAAATTCTCGCGCTCGACAGTTCCCTTCGTGTCAAAATTTACGTATGGTAACCTTAATTACTAGATGTATACCATGTAAAAACTAACGATCCTTATTATTTTGAATCGCGTATCGTCTCACACTCAATCTTTAAAATAAAATTCATGTATTCTGACTCTCCTTTAAAAATAGACACAGATTCACTTTTGTGATCCTATCGATGCCTTAAGCCTATTACGTATATTCCTCATCACGATTAAGAGCAATGAACGCGCGACTAACATAAACGCTCGCTCGTTTATACACGATTTTTTAAAAATTTACTCTCGTCATTTCGCACAAACTCCACACCGATCCAAGTTTAATTTAGTTTAGTTCAATTCTTGAGCAATTGTTTCGCTATTCGCAAAAGTTTAAGAATATAGAAACGGATTAAAATTGGAAAAGGAGTAACAAACAAAAAGTCATCAATTATTTAATAGCAAGTAAAATATCTAAAACAACAAGATAATGCAAAACTTTTTAAGAAAGAACATCTTTACAAAAAGGGTACAAAGTGTGCAAAACAATTTTGTACCATTTTAATAGAATAAAAAATTTCATTTTCACTTTTCTAATAAGGTTATATTTACTCTTCTGTTAAAAATTACCCGTTTCGCAGCCTACTCCGATATCGACTTATCGACTTTGAAAGCCTGGAAATAATTTCTATGTGTCGCGCCTACTTGAAAAGAAAACCTACCTACGCCAACGCTCGCCCTCTTAATACCCGAAAACAAGTTCGCGATCTCGTACTTTTTCTACTTTCACCTTCTTCCTCTTCTTCTTTGTTGCTGAACAGTGCAAAAGAGCAAAATTCAAAATGACATCTACAATTTCTTTAGAGTGTAAAGAGGGATTTAGACTAGAAGCTCTAATAGGAAAATCAGACTTGTAAGCGTCAACAAAACAGGCGCAAGCTTCTTAATTTCTCAAAATAATTAAAGATTGATGACTGAAATTTTAAAAAGTGCTGCAATACCGCATACAAAAAGTGCTCAATTTCAATGTGAAATTTTTTTTATTATTCTCACATAAGAGTAGAAACAATTACATATAAAACTTTTTATGAACAATGCGATTTTCAGCAACTTCTTAAAATTCTATTTAAAAGGAATAAAGCGCATTAAATTATCTTCTCATAAAGGACTTTTCAGTTCAGTTGCAAAGAAACAAAGACCAAACAAACCAGAAGAAGTAATTGCTGCGAATATAAACACTTGAATTTTCGAAAGTAATTAAAACACATTAGAGGAAATTTTAAAAATTAATTTGGCTTTATAATAAAAAAAATAAATTATTCTTCATCTCAATTTTTAAAAAGAAATTAAAGAATAAAGGCGAAAGAGAAGAAATACGAGGTTTTCGTGTGACAAACACGGATATATATCGCGCGTTCCACAGAGCAGATCGTTTTCAGTGATTTAAAACATTTTTCTGCAAGATATCCATTAATCTTCAATAAACTCTAATCCAAGCTCAGTTTTCTATTTCTGGAATTTGAGAATAGAAAATGGAGGAAAACAAATGGAAGCATGAAATGAGATTACAAATTCATTAGATGTTACATGTTGAGTGAATCAGCATATCAACAATCATCATGAACGCTAAATTAAAAAGTCGTTAAATAGATTAAATATTGTAAACAATATTCTCAATTTATCAAAATTATTACTGAATCCACAATACTTGTTGCTACATCAACAAGTTTGTCTTCCGTATGTTAAATTAATTTGGATTAGACTTGAAAAGATCGGCATGAATATCACCTAAAGTTTATTTAATCGTAAATCAAATTGTAGTGAAAAGATATTTATCAATATTGTATAACAAATGAATTAATAACCCATAAAACCTCTAAATATCCTTACTTTTTTATAATTCATAATTAAACATATTCCCATTTGACGTAATTTCTTTGAATCTCTATTCATTATTTAGATTCACATGGATTTGTACTCGAATTGTTATTTATAGTAATACATAATAATAATAATAATGAAATATTAGAAACTTTTCTCAGGGAAATGAAAAATTCAGATATCATGAACATCAATATGGTGAAATTGAATTGTAAAGAATCGAAAAAATGCCAAGTGTTTTAAGTAGAAATTCGATACGGCAAATGAATATTAGAGGTTATGTCAGTTGAAAATGTGGGCAATGAACAATAGTGGCAAATAACTTTTCCTCACGGATTTTGAGGTGTCGAGGATGATGAACAAAGATAGAAGAAATGGAGGCATCTGCGGAACAGGATTAAGAGAAGAGCGAACAACAATGTACTGCGATTGAACGATTATTACGAACACGGATATATCGCCGAGCTGATGCTGTGGTAGGCGGCGAGGGCGGCGTGCGCGTGCGCGTGCGCAGGGGGCGCGGATGCGGCTACTGCGTGCGGCGAGGAGGCCATCGCGGATGCCGCCGCGGCTGCCATCATCATCTGCTGGTGCGAACGCTTTAGGGAGTTGGGAGTTGTGGCGGCGCTACTCGGGGTAGTAATAGTGGTAGTGGTGTTGTTCGTTTGCGGCGGCGGGTGGTTTTGGCTTTGGTTTTGGCTCAGTTGCAAGGGGGTGGTACTGCCGATACTGGCGTGATTACTCTGGTGATGGTGGTGATGGTTGTGATGGTGGTGGGGAGTGATCGCGTCGTGCGGATAATAAGACGCTGATGATGGTGAGGTACTCACGACGTCGGGCGTGCTGGCTCCATCGGTATGGCTCGCGCTGTCAGCTGTACTCCTCGGTCCACCTGCGTCTAAGCCGTTGCCCATATCTGGAGGTTTCGTACTATCCCGGTCGTCGATCACCAGGTCTATTGGCATTTTTCCCTTCAAGCAGCTAATGTACCGGTGGCAGAAGTTGTCACACAACTCGTGAACCTGCAAAAGATGAATTTTTAATGTAATTTAAATCAAATTAATAGCTCCCAATTCAAGCAGCTCATCTTGTCTCAGATTGTAAATGTAAATACACAAGGTTCAGTTTCAAAAACCCACATGCACGAAAATTTTAAGTATCTAATTACACAATTCGCAGCTAACATACTGTCAAATTAATCATAATTAGAAAGAGAGTTGCAAATGAACTGATTTTCTGTCGTTTACAATTTCCAGGCTTAGTAAACCATGGTTGATCTAAAGTAATATGGTATCGATACAGAAGACTCATCTCAAAGAGTGTTTCAAGAACAAGAGTGAGAAGGACGCTTAGGTTACGAGAATGGAGGAGGTCTGACCGGAGTCCAATCGAGCAGAATGTTATGTATGCAAATTAGGACTGACAGGCCTATAGGATACCCATCGTCTTCTCTATAAGCCGCCCTTTAAAAAGCCAAACCCTTTTTTCTCGATCTTGCTCCCTGAAACCGACTGTCGCTGTGAATGCTTGGTCCCTTAGAATCAGTTTAGAAAAAATGTATTATATAAAAAACAAATAAAAATCGTTATCTTGTTATATGTAAATCGAAGAAAAAACGGAGCGCGTATTATTCTCTTGCCGCGTTCCGTCCCTTCAGTTTCTTCTACATCTTTTTTTCTGTATGTATTTCTATTCTGAAAAAGAGCTAGCTTCAGCGCCTAATTCCATGTAACGATGTAATTAATATTAAATGAATAATGAATGTCAATTGAATTACTAGCAAATATAGCAAATACTCTTTAGTTCCTTGACGTTTCTGTGAGTTATTATTAAAACAATTATGATTTTTTGGATAATCACCAGTATTAATGGCAAATTGAGAAAAAGATATTTGGGATTTATTTATTTACATTTTCTCAAAAAACTCGCTTCCAGTTAAAGATCCTTCATAGAAGGAACCTTAATTTTTGTCTAAAGATTGCCATCTTAAAAGGTTTCTGTCCTTGATTTAGAGAGTCCACCTACAAAGTCAAGAGCCTTTTATACACTATTGTAACTGTATAACTATGTAGACGTCCAGGGTGGTGTCCCAACAAATGTGGCATTCTTTTTTTTCAAATTTTTTTCAACTGAGACCTTTCGTCTCATTGTACTGTGAGATTTCCTCTTAAGGTGGAAGGCGTAGCACAATGCCTGGAAATGAATAGACTCACAACGAAGGCGACGGAGGAGAAGGAAAGATAGATAGGATTCGAAGGACACCGGCTATAGTGCTGGACTGGTTAGAATTTGATCCAGCGTCGAGCCAAACAAGAAGAAAAGAAACAAAGTGCACGATCTTTGATATAGTGAGATATCGATTCATGCTCTTGCTGACATGATTCGCAGGTTACGTACCTTTTTTCTGTTAAAATATGCTACAAACAACGTATATCTCCATCTTCAAGTTAACTTAGAAATAGACAATCAATATAAACAAATGAATGAATGAATAAAGGATTCGAGAGTAAGTAAATGAAATCTCCAGAGTAACGTACGATAATAATCATTATTCATAATTGAAGTCAGTTTATTTTTACCGATAATGTTAAGAAAATTCGTTCTCGATTTCATTACCCTATGCAATAGTGCACACAGGGAAAACATCGAACGACCATCTCAAAGATCAGTTTCGCTTCCGGGAATTTGAACGACTTTTTACCCTCCCCGTATCACATCACTCAGAACTCGCTTAAGTTACAACAAATGATTCAAGGCCAAAACAGGTATATCCAGTAAACTAAAAAACCATTTCTGTCACGGTTTCTTCAAAATTAAGATTATTTTCTTTAAAGAGAGTATGTGCGATTTCCCGATTGCGTCTTTTTATAGCAAAGTTCAATAGTCTATGAATGTGATAACTTCTTCATCGGTTTATTAATAATAATTCTATCCATACAGTGTATTTAAAAATGCATGATTATTTCAAAATAAATATTAAAATTAATTCATATGTCCGAGATGCATATATAATGGCCCAAGCAAGATCTCTCCTTTGCCATGAGTGCAGGAAGAATCAACTTTTTGAAAAAAACAAGTAGACAGTGATGTTGATATGTTAAATTGTTTAAATCTGACATCAGACTTGTAATCAGCCTTCTTTTTTCTAATAGAACCATTCTCCCAAATGTTATAAGATTCTTTGATTTAAAAAAATGCAGTTTCATTAAAATTTTTCTTATTGGAAAAGTATAAAAAGTATTTTTTGCTTATTCCATCGTGGCACCAAACTAAAAAATACTTAATATAAAACCATATTATACGCCTCTTGGAAACTTACTCTCTAAATTTGAATCAGCGGAATCTCGCTGATTCTCAGCTATAAGTATACCACTGATTCCAATCAGCTTATATGCACTGATGAATTAGTGGAATTTCACTGATTTTTCAGCGTATATCCGCTGATTGGTACCAGTGGTATACTTATCGCTGATTCAAATTTAGAGAGTACTGGAACTGTTCCGATCCCGCCACGCAACTAAATTACAATAAAGCATTTAAATACGTCAGCCAAACAACGATGAAAAGGAGATTGAAGCAGGTTAGAAAATCGATATGAATCGATTTGACATTTGAATTTAAAAAAGTAGAGATTCGATTATATTTTAATTGTAAGTCAATTTTATCTTGAAACAGGTAAAAAAACAAAGTTCCAAGTATAAAGGTAAAATAGTGAATGAAAAAGAAAGCGACAAAAAAAGAGAAGCTAAGTATTTAATTCTTCATGGAAATTTACAATTTCATAAATAATCAATAAAACATTTTCATTTTTCATCTCGTGTAGTTTTATTGAAAACTGTACATATTTGTTTTGAGCAGTATCGTTTGTTGAATAAAGAGAAAAGATTCCAATGGCCGAACGATACTTGGGAGCCACCGTCGCTTGTAACACGAGATTATTCCCATTTTATGGCCGATTTAACAAGGTCGAGTGTAAGCAGGGAATCTTTTCTCCACGTATATGACTTTCCATGAGTATTTTATCAACTTTAGAGCAGAAAGTAAACGATATTGTGCCAGATAAGAAAATCGCTAAAAAAATAGTTCGAATAACAAATGAGTTGTTTTTTCGGATCCGAATGTCTTGTTTTTAAAAATTTGCACATGTCGTTTCATTTTTCTTGAAGAAATACGCTTTTGAGTTTTCATGAAACTCCTTTTAAGAACTGTATTTATAAGTAGGAAAATTGATTTTATTATTTGTGACCTAAAATTTGTCCTTGGGAATTTGAGAGGAAGATAGAAAGACGAGGGCTTAGACTTTAGAACCAGTTCTTACCGCAACCACAAAGGGGAGAGAGTTGTGTCGTAGCAGTATGAATCTCGTTCGTATGTACTCAACGCTATAATGCGTTGTAAGAAATGTACCGCTCTTCATCTGCCGATGTCTGCATCTTTCCTATATAAGTATGTGTTTTTGTATTTTCGCATATACGAGTGTACAAGAATGGTATAGTGGAAGTATAAGGATCAACTTTTGAACACAACCCTAAACCCATCAACGATGTCCTCGTCGCCATGATGCCTTCCCTTCAGCCACGGCGAAACATAATTATGCTAATACCCGATTGGCTCAAAAATGTTAAACGCATCACAAGCACCTCCGGCCATTGAAATTTTTCTCCAATGAACGATAGACATGAATGGAATCTTCACATGTGCTTGATTTTAGCCCATGAATTTATTTTAAAAGAAGTCATAAATTATTCAATGTAAGTCTAAACAAATAGTAATAAATAATATAATTACTTTTGCGAATTAAAGTTCCATCCATAGAAAGTCATGTAATTATTTTCTAGCAATAATCTAACTTAATTTCAATTACTTTTTAGTGTCTTTCTGCAGACGTAAAAAATCAGTATTTGGAATTTTACTTGATAGAGTATTTGACTTGTGGATGGGGAAAAATTTTCTAAATATTTAATGTATAGTTCTAGAATTATTTGTTGACTTTATGAAACTATCATGGTTGAATAATTCTAGAATATTTCGCTGATTTCTCCAAATAATTTTTAATATTTAGAAAATTAAAATGACAATTATTATTCGTGAAGAAGGAACTTGCTTAGGCCTTGATTAGGCAGTCCACATTTTCTCGTGGCCCTGATCGGGCGTGGCGTTTTTTCACCACTAGGGCCCTGGTAGGGAAATTTCTGCACGGATAGAATATTAGAGATCAGGGTGTCGATTATGTAATTTGATTGATCCAGTACAATATCTTGAACATTCTCCTGCACAAATTCAGTAGTTGAACTCATATACCAGTTCTGGTATAGATCCTTTTGACCCATAAAATAAGTTAGATTTTTTTCACATTTTTTAAACTGATGATGAGTAGCGTACGCTATTCATTTTGAAACCAGGTTTTTTCTGTGTAGATATGTGATGCTCCACAGTGAAAAGGACCATAGCTCCCAACAAATTTTAGGTTATGTTTATGTTTTTTATAGTGATACTACAAAAAGACTACCCGTGCAGAAATTTCCACCCTTCTTCCCGATTTCCGACCTGGCCCCGGCCAGATTATCTGGTCCGGCCCCGGGTTAGTAAATGTTAGTGGCCCCGGTCGTGGCCAGGCCGGGTTGCCCCAATAATAAGATAAGTAAAAATAAATTTTTATAGAGGAGTGCAGAACTCAAGAAGGCTATAGAAACAGGAAGTACACGTTAGGTAGTGGGGGTACGTGACAATTTGGTTTTCTGAAATGGGCGGATAAGTTGCAAGACGCAGTATTACGAACAGGTGATAATAAAAAAGCAGATATTTATTTTACCGAAGCATATACGTACGTATAGAATCAGTGTTAATATTTTATTCTGAATTACCGCCAGATGGTAAGTCAACAGTTAGTCTGCGCAGAAGGCTACCGCGACTTGCAACTTATTCTATTGCTCTGCCTATTTCAGAAAACCCTTTTTCTTACGTATTCGTACGGTACCTCCCATTTCTAGTCTTCTTGGCCTAACTTTTGTTTTATTTTGGATACATAAATTATTTATTTCTGTGAATAATATGCCAAAACACAAAAGTACGAAACGTGTACGGAAACATCGACTGTCAACCCAATTTTCATCTCTGCCGAATATATCAAGTCGTAAGTAAAAAATATTATTCACATGATATTACATTACCAAATAAAAAATAACCTAAAAATAGAGATTTTGTATTCTAACTTTATAAATATTGTTTTCATTTTTATAGTTTTACAAATGTTCTAGTAGTATTCCTTTGAAAAAATCCCGAATTTAAGTTAAAAATTCTTTTATTACATCTGACTTCTTATATATTCTTTCACATTTGTTATAATAATAATATGTATAAGTATGAATTTATCACTCGATCGAAATTAGTTTTATAAGAATGATCTTTCTTTCTTATATAATAATAATGATAACAACTATTTTCATGTATGTTAAATATAATTCTATGCCTTATAGCTTCAGATGATTCAAATCATGAAGATGCGAATGTTAATGAGAATATCAGCTCACAGCTAGGACAACAATATGATTCGCTTAGTTCCCATATGGAAGATTGTCTCACACCAGGCGACATTGATTCAAACTACGAAATTAATGAATCTGAAGACCAAAGTAAATATCATTAATAATAAAGTAAACTTAAAATATTTTTAAAAATTAATTTCAACGTAATGAACGCGAGATCACAGTGATTAACATTAGGTGAAAAGGGGGATATTAATTTTTGAAAGAGATATTTCTTCAAATTAAGTAAAAATTTATTTTATTATAATTCAGGGGCTGAATGCTATATGAGGATACGCGCAATGTTACGAAAATGGCGCTTATTCCCTGATATTTAATTATTATCTTCTTCTGTAGCCTATATTTCTTAATTCTGAATACAAATTTTTGTTAAAATTCTATTTTTGATTTAAAATTCCAGATTTAAAATTCCATGAATTTTACTATATTCAAATTTATTTATATAACGCATTAAATTTAAGTAAAAATTAAAAAAATTTGCTTCGGATTAATTTCGGACTTAGTAAAATTTCCTCTCAAAATAATAAAATGTACTATGAAAAATTATTATTTCCAGAATTACTTTTACTATTTACCAATAAAATTTCTTTAGAAAAATTTACTTTGGAAATAATCACAATTCATAACAAATTGTACGACGTTCGATTAAATTAAAAAAATTTTCATAAAATAATTAAGTGCAGAAATAGTAAAATTTTCAAATAAAAATCTGAGAATAGTAAAAATTGACCGATATTTCAAATAGCTACACTCTAAATCTAAATCAGTAAAAATTTTATTGATTTCAATTCACTGGACGAGTTTTCTTTAATTCTTCAGTTGAATTTCACTGATTCATCAAAGAAAATTCATCCACTGCGAATTGAAATTAGTGACATTTTCACTAATTCAGATTTAGACTGTGTGGAATTTTGCTTTTAAGCAGTAAGTTATTTAATATTTGTTGCTATGTATAACAAAATGTCTATATTTAACAAGTGTAAAAAATAATATAAACCACAAAACCACAAACATTTGAATGGTGGTCAAATCGGGAAAAATTTGATGGCCCCGGTCGGGTCCCCAGCAGAGAACCAGATCGGGCCCCGAGCCATGGCCCCGGTCGGTTTTATTGTTTCATCCAGGCCGGGGGCAGGCCAGATTTCCCGAAGTGGCCCCGGTCTTGCCCGGTCTGGCCCTGGCCAGGGCCCGGTCAAAATTTCTGCACGGGTATTAACTCATAATACAAACCACTAATTTTAAGTCTTTAATAAATCCAGAATATTCAATAAAAACTGATTTTTATTTAACATAATTAAATTGAACGTTTAGTCAAGATAAAACTATCACTCAACATAACCTAAAATTTGTTTAGGGTGAAGGTGCCTATCACTGTGGAGCATCACATATATTGTATATGCACGGAAAAAATTTGCTGTGTTATCAATAGCATCGCAGTTGTAGTCACACTTACATTTTTTGCGCATGCGTTATGCCTCTGTATTAACGAAAATAGAATTGTGCTATTTCCAATTTTATGTGTCGGAAACTCAATTTTCTTATAGTCTACATGGCAATTTACACAATTGTCTATTCTGAAAATTGAACTATTTTCGCTACAAAAATTTTGTTTGCGTGTGTTTAAAATTAAAACAATTTTAAGAACAAGTTGTTTTTCACAATAATAAATCAAAATTATTTAATTATTTTTAGTAAAAATACACTGTTAACATATAAAGCAAGTATAATCGAAAGAATAACTTTGAATAAAAATATAAAAAATTATAATATATAATAATATATACCTACCTAATATTTTTAAATTATATTTAAATTTAAATCTTTTATATTTTTAGTCAAAGTCATTCTTTCGATTATACTTTTTTTATATACGTACTGTGTATTTTTACTAAAAATAATTAAATGATTTTCATTTTTTATTGTGGAAAACATTTTTTTCTTGAACTTCTTTAATTTTAAACAAATACAAAATATATATATATATATAACACAATTTTCTTTTATAAAATTAAGGTATATTGTCCATTTAAACATTCTAAAAAAGAATAACATATTTTAAGAGACTTTAAATTAATGTGAAGAAGATTGATTTTTTCAATTAAGGTCATAAAAAAAGCAAATAACTGCAAATAACTGCAATGGCCCCTCACAGTTCATGTGCAGTTTTTATACAGTTTTCCCTTTATTTCTTTAGATATGTAGCCTTTCTAGAATTTAGCTAGTTATTGTCTAGAATGCTTACTTGATAATTTTGCACAAGTTCGTACAGTAAGCTGTCTAGAATTTATCAAGATGCGACCTAGGATACCGTCATAAAAAATTAATATAAGTCCGTCAAGCAGGTGTCACTGAATTCGCTACAGTAACTAGCTGGTAGACAAATTCAGTAATTGCAAAGATTTTTAAAATAACTTAAATACAATAATAAAATACAATATAATAAATAAATAAATCAATAAAAACATATTTATTTAGTTATTATTATTTTTATGTTATATAATTTAAATTTAATTGATTAAATTAATAAGAATGATTAATTTCAATTTTAATTTAAACAAATTAATTTAATTATAAAAAAACAAAATATCAACTCAATTCATTTAGTATTTTACGAGAAAAGTGGTCGAAAAATTATAACATTGTGGCTATCACGTGACCTAACAATCACATACTGTTGACACATCCATATTTATGGTTGATTTTCCGTCCATATTCATGAATATTGGATGTCCCAACCGTATCATTTTCTTCCGCGTGCATCCGATTCAAATTCTTGAAATTGGTACTCTAATTCGAACGCAACGAAATTTACACTAACAAATACTTTTTTTTTATTAGAGCAATTGACGAAAATTCTTGAAATCGAATACATACTCTGTTTTAACGTTACTAATCCTAGGCCTATATATTTTTACATTTTCATCTGTCACATCAGGACAATTTAACTTTTGGAGATCTTTAAAAGGATAATGTTCACCGAAATCCACAGTTTAACATAATCCCCTATTTGCATCGTTCTCGACTATTTTCGTTTGACGCGATCAACGGCGCAAAAGTGGGTTTAGTATATGGAATAAACATATAATGCACACAACAATTTTAACTGTCGAGAATATGTATATTTTCGCCTGGGGCCATCGAATATCGGCTCGTAATAATGTAATCACCGTAAATGAGGAAAATTGCTATAAAATTGCATGATAAACCGGGCTGACCGGTGCAGTCAAGCAGTAAGGGCCGGGAGTGCTCATTGGCCGAGGCTGCCACGTCAGCTGCCATTTCGATGGAAATGCGATGGATGTCCGCTATTTTGTATGATAAAATATCCCGATATAAAAAAATAATAGGACCTCCCCAGGCTTTTCAATTCTCGGGAATATATTTCAACAACAGGCTGGCTTAATCGTCTGCAAAATTGCAATAAAAATATCTGAAAGTGTTTGGGAATTTTTCGAAACAAGTGAATAGACCACTGATGAACATTATAATTACATGTAATTTGATACGAAAGTTAATGAACACTCTAAATAAAAGACGATTTTATAGTTTGATTTTCTCTCGCATTGGGGAAGGGAAGTGTTTCAGAATAAACGGCTAGAAAACGAGGCAATTTCCTAGGTCCTTTACCGCCCATCGGGTATAGTTAAATCACTCCACTTAGAATGCTAGCAGTAACTATACGGACGTACTATAGTGCGCCGAGCTTTCACTACAATTACGGAAAATTGCTCCTCAGTCATAACACTTGTTCCCAGGTGTAAATGTTGCTTATACATATACGTCATGCTGGCCAATCTCTCGGAAAACGAATTCTTCCTGTGTTTTACCATTTTAAATTTCTCTCGCATTTTTAATTTTATTTCTTCCAGACAAGCCACTTGAACTTTCAAGATCACAGGGATTGTAAATAGAAATAACTTACCTTTTCGAGCTCGAGGAGGTGAAACCGGAGGACTTGGATTGCTTGTACCATCTGAAAAAGAAACAATAACCAATTACTATTTGAAACATGGATTAAATTTCTGTAGTATATAGTTTGCACTTTATTGGTAATTATCATCTTGGCGTTAATAAGACACAAAACAGAAACGGAAAAAACAAAGTCTTACTCCGTTTACATATTAAATAACCAAAATGAAAGAATATCAGCCAATGTTTTGTTTAAAAAAATCAAACTCAAGCAAAACCGGGTACCTTTTTGTAATTCTCGGTTTACAAAGAATCTATCAAACAAATTAGTTACAGTAAATGTATTTAAATATACCCGGTTTTGCCCCGCACTGCATTTTTTAACAAAATGTAAAATTCTCAGCTTATTGTTACTTATTTAACAATTACTTTTAAGGAAAGTTACTCGTAAATAAATGCTGAAAAAGATGTTATACTTGCCGAAACGAATATATCAACACAAAAAGTTTTATGAGTGATTTACTTTAGATAAAAAATGGATTTTCTTTTAACCTAAAATTTAAAAGTCGCATAAAATATAATAAATAAATTTTTATATAGCGGTTATATCATTAAGATGATTTTGGTTGTAATATAAAAGATATATGTAAAGGGTGACACAAATAGAAATACATATCATGGAAAACTGGGGGTACCTGGTTTTGCCCCAATCGACTCTAATTTCTACGGCGTAAATTATGCAACACCACATGGCAAAATTGATGTTAGTGACCAAAATATAAACCTTATTATTCTATTTTTACTTTTCAAAATGGTCGAGTAAATTTGGTATTTCTCTCTTTAAAGTGGCGATTCAATTAGGCAAAATGACAATCTTAATTGTTAATTCAAATTATGTTTATGCAATTAGAGTCCATTATGATGCCGCTTGAGCGATAAAGGGAGGATGGAAATGAGAAGCGTTGATAATAGTTGAGTGCTCCAACTACCGGAATAACTAAATGAAAGGGTATTTTCAGTGCAGTAGCTTCATTCTCAAAATATGTAAAAAATGCTTCCTTCGAAGGAAACTAGAAAACATTTTTCACTAAAATCAGAAATTCGATAACTTGAGAAAGGCGAGGGACCATTTCAATGATAAAAAAGAGCGGGAGAATTGAAGTGGCTCCACACCGCAAGTGGGCTGAACAGTTGATCGCATTATATTGAGCGACTGAAGTATCGAGAGGAAAGGGAGCAACGAAACGGTCGCACTTCAGGACCCACTTCGTAAAGAGGAGATGGTATCTCGTCTATATCACAACGCTAAAACCCGTGGGCAATAAAAATGGTGCCAAGTCCGTTCTCCAACAAAGCGTTCTCTATATTGGTATACCATATGGTCGTACACTGACACTTCAGAGGCAAATTTTGGATAACAAAGTCCACTTATTTAATGAATATTGCAAACACTTAAATTCATTTCGATTTAAATACTGTGACATTTTCAAAAAATTCAATGTATTTCTACTTTACTTTCTGCGGTAAAAGATGAATGCACGAAAAATTCAACTCCGCGTTGAGTATGCGAGCAGAAAATCGTTTGCTGGATCGCTCATAACGTGATATAATATTAATTATGCGCATCGCGCTTCTGGATCTCGTGAAAAGACAAGTAGAGACGGGAGATTAAGCGTAGACGAAGAAAAAGCTCGGAAGAAACTTGAAGAGATGGCGTTATTTATAGGAGAAGCGTTTGTAGGATGCCACGGAGGTATGTAAGTGAGTCGCGTGAGGATACAGATCCACGTTATGTGCGTGATTCATGCTCGAGATACATAATACATAGCACGTATATACGTGACGTATACGGGCATATGCTTTGAGAAGCCAGTACAAAAGGATCAGCCTTTCGCACAGATCCGTCGCGTCGGCGAGAAAAGTCAATCGGTGTCAACGAGTTTATTGGCACTCTGTCAAAATGAAATGCGCTACATGTGCTGCTAACAGAAATGCCAGAGCTCTTACTTGAAAAATATTTTTTCTTTTAATCACAAAATTCATTGACATATTTAAGTCGTTTTTTACTCCCTTTGTTATTTATCTTCAAGAACAGTAACATAGGATTGCAAGAAATTTCGTTAATTCTGAATCTGATTCACTTTACCTCATCGCTGCGGTGTTTCAATAAAATACATATTATCTTTTATTATTCAAGTTTTCTTTACTATTTATATAAATTCACAGAATAAGCACAAAAAATTACATATTCTCATGTGTTTTGTGAATTCATAAATCTAACTAAATCAGTTTTCTTAATATACATATAAGTACTTGTTTTTTGCTTTTTGTTTTATGTAAAGAATATGATTTTCAATCTACTAGAAAATAACTACATATGTGACAGTCCCCGAGAGAAGGGACCTTAGCTCACCAAAACGAATTTCACAGGGCAAGCGCTTGAAGAAGAAGCAGAAACGCGGAACTCGAAGAGTGGGGCGGAACTTCTGAAAAGTCCCCCCACCACACTAACACAACGTTGTGTTTCTGTATACGTGAGCTTCGTCTACTTCGTGTATCTTCGGGTCTCACGTACGCGAAGCTCACGTACGCGAGAGTATAGTTGTGTAAGTAAAGTAGTGGGGCTGATTTCTTGAGTGCCACAATCCGCCTCGAAATGCGCTTGACATACCCATCTTCAAAATGTTATTGTGTCAAAAGCAATTATCCTAATCAGTTTTTGACTTTTGCATGTGAAAAAGCAATTCAAAATCTATCATTTACCATATAAAACTCAATATTGACCTCTGGTGAGCTAAGGTCCCTTCTCTCGGGGACTGTCACATATACTGTAGCATCTTCTTATATATTTCACACAAGAATCTACGACTTGATAAATCTTTGTAAACCGAGTCCGCGTATCCACGAATACGAACCGATATACATATATATATAGCGTTAAAAAGAAGTAAAGATAATGCAGGAGGCGATATTTAGAATAAAGAAAAAGTATGAGGAAAAAATGTTCTCAAGACACCTGCTATTCTGCACCTCATCATCAATATTATCCGCTTCAAGTATCTGAAAAGCCGGAAAAAAATTTTCATAGATGAAACTTTAATAAAAATAATGTCGCCCGAGAATTGAATGAATGGATATTAATAATTGCATCACATCAATTATTACCGAGAGAGCAAGGTTGGCATAGAATGAGCTTATCGATGATGCGTAATTTACGTTTTCTCTCCCTCCACCCTCTCCTCTTATTCTCCCCACTCCATCGACATAAAGGACCAGCAAGTTCAATCGATAAAATGCAATGACTTTATTACAAGACGTCTTTCACGTTAATTACAACTTTTGTCATTCATGATACATTCGCCATCGATTAGTGGCTTTAATAATTCATTCCATTAACGCGACAGAAATCCAGGCAGCCGTCAATGAGTTTTGTCGTTTCTTTCATAAATCTTGCTGCCAATTAAAATACATACGATGTAAGATGTGGTTTTGCATTTAACCATTTAATCAATTAAGCTTCTACAGGTTATGATCTATTGGCGCTTTATTGATTCATTCGCGTGGGAGAGTGAAGTGTTAATAAATCTATTGAGGAAGGTAATTTAATAAAACTGATTATAAAACTTATGCAGTCAGGTGTTTGGGAGATATTTTTGCTGTAACTCTCCTCTTCCAGTCAGTTGAAATAAATTTTTATATTTATTAACTTTGTGTAGAATAATTTTGCTTTGAACTTTACACACATTAAATTATTTATTACTCGAGTAACGGCGAGTCAAGTGATCAACAAGTGAATGGTTAAGTTGTATATTATCGTCGATTAATTCCATCAACACAAATCGAATGAGCATTGTCATTTCAATTACAAAGATTCTCGCAAAAAGAGACCGATTATTATCGATTCAAAGAAACATTTTCTACTGGAATATCATGTTATCGCATTAAGACCAATTATGCATATGTATTGTAATTATATAAAGACTAGAGAAGGTTATTAGTTTGTTCATCATTTTATACGTTCTTATTGATTCTTTAACCAACCCGTGAAGAAATAAATATTTTATTGCAAACAGAGCTTGCAAAAACTATGATGGGAAATATATTATTTCGATTACGATTATTGTATACTTTCTCGTGAAATGAAACTGAATTATATCAACACTCAAGTATATTTATTTGCTCAGAATACGAAAATAAAAATTGTAGACTTTAAATATAATTTGCTGCTGCTTGCAGAAGTTAAATGCTTCCGTATGTGCGCGTCTGTATAAAGATGATAGTGAGCTACGGCACGGGCCATCAAACAGCGCGGTCCACTGTCTTAATAGCCGGAGATTTATAGTCCCAGAGACTCGACACAACGCTCAACATCGGGTCTAGCACAACTTTACTTAAGGATGTACGAAGCACGCTAAAAGAGAAACAGAAACACTACCATAAACAAATACAAAAATACCAGAAACATAAAACACTGTTGAGGACTTTACTGACAATCAATTATTACTTTAATCATTTATTTCTCTATAAAAATACTTGTATACATTAGACGAATCAAATAAAAAAGACAGAATATTAACAAACAAAATATCTTAATAAAATTTAATATAAAAAAATCCAAGTTAGTTGAATTGTTTAAATTCTATCAATGAATCATGAAAAAAATTTACCAATTCATTAGTAAAGTTTAATTAATTTTTAGCAAAAAGTACATTTCTAATTCAAATTAGAACTTTCAGTAATCACGATGAGACACTAAGAAAATAATAATAAAGACTTTAAAAGTATTAAAGCATGGAGTTCGTAGAAGATAGGGTCACCGACCCATCGAGTAAGAAATTATCAATGTGAATTTCAAATATCATTAGAAATGAGAAATGTTTTTTTTTCTTAAGGTACTTTCGCGTGGCTGCTAGCTGGAATTCGATGATGTAATTAAAATACATTTTATATGATAAATAAACAATATTTATTTATCATGTCTATTATTCACTGTTCCTCACTGTCGTTACTGGTTTTCTTTTTTAAATAGGTTTGGATAAAGTTTACTCAAAAAGTAATTTCAAT